ATACGTTTCATCACCGAGAACGTTGCCTGAGGTGCACCACAGGGAACGAATAATTTTACACCTGCGAGAATGGGAAGTTCCATCCCAGTTTTGATGGGAACATTCCTGGGGACTGATCTGAGAGTCATCCATTCCCCTTGTTCTACCATCGACTTTCTCGAAAGGACTTCAGTCTCATAAATATTTTAAGTGCCTTCATGGCGCACAGATACTATACACTTACAAAAATGTGTGCCTTCTCCGATATTCGAGCCCGGGCCCAACGATTCGGCCGCCAGCGTCGCCAAATACTATCAGTGTGACCCGGCTATGTTTAAACTGGCAGTTTTGCTGTTCGCCTGATTGTTAGAAGTTGAAAATTGGTATTTTTTTTCCCTTTATATTCTGGAGAGAGTATTATTTGAACCTTTTGATAATGTTTCCTTTAATTTGCATAGAAATGATGAAGTTTCTAAATTTCTTCCAAACAGAGTGATTAAATTCTGTAATTTCTTTTATATCCTTCAAACTAGTAGCGTTGGATAAACGTATTATTTTATTATGAAATTTTGGGTTTCTGTGTGCAGTTTTATTATTTAGTCCAGTTCAGTCAGAAGCAGATGAAAACTTTCTAGAATAAAATATATAGATAGAATAGATAAAAACTCTACAAATTCAACTCAGATACAATTATATGTGAACATACTGTTAAGTGTGTAAGGGGTCGTAATGGATTAAATGCACACAGAACCGATGACAGCTTGATAAAATTTACACACTCTCACAAAGAAATATATGCAGCCAGAAGGAAAAGAACCACTATCACGCAACTTAACACGTATGTAGTGTATGAGGAAATAAGTAAATGATTACAAATTCGGAACAAAAGTTCGTTTTATTAAGAAATGGCATGAAAAACGTTACAAAGCAGTAAGTATTATAGCCACCTCTGGCAGCTATACAAGCCGAAACACAGCGTAGTATCGAATCAAGTAGGTCACTTACTGTGACCCCCTGCGGAAGATCATGCAATAATCTTTAAACCTGGGCAGTTAATTCACCAATATTCCGGAACGGCTGCAGTTGCTTTCCAAGAATGTCCCAAACGTGCTACATTGGCGAGAGGTCTGGTGACCTGGCAGGCCACGGGAGTACTTTATATCCTTGACGATATTATTGGGAGAGTGGCGCAGTATGTGGACGAGTGACTGAGTGAGCGCCAGAAAGGAAGACTACTGACCTGGCCTTAGCCTCACAGTGTGTTATCTTATTGGCAGAAACCATTTACTCTCTACTCCACCCAACCACGGGAACTTATCCAAAAAGACGGCTTACAGCCTTACAAAGCTTACAAGTAAGTTTGGATGTTGTTGTTCGGGGAAAGAGTAGCCTGTTAGGAACTACTTAAATTTAAGCAAAGAAAGAAATCAACAGATTGTTAAGAATCGCTATTAGAATAAAACAGAAACTTGTGTTAGATAAAATATGGAAAGGATGCCTGAAAAATTAACTGCCGCGGACTGTCTGGACTTGCCAAATGTCTACAGGCGGATGCTAATCCTAACACAACTGTTATATATCTATTATGCTGTTTGTAATGTCGTTGGTCTTTCATTAAGGTAAGACGTAACGTATTAGTTTTTGCACATAGTAAACTAAAAAAAAAAAAGGAACATTAAAATTTAAATCCTAGCGCCTAAACGTATTTTAACGCAGAAGATTACTTTTCATGCGCCTGACTCTTATGTAAAACATTTAAAAGATCGTGTACCTGTTACCACTAAGATAACAAATTCGTGCGTAATTTAATTCTTCGTGCAAGCTGAAACTGGAATTGTTTTTACAAATTGAACCATGTATGTACATTTTCCTTCGTAGTACTTGTAAACAGGATAATACATACATAAGTAGAAAACTGAATATTGTCGTAAAAAAATCAAACATGACACTGAGCACAGAAATACAGCCACAGTTAAAAGTATGGGGGACACCAGCGATGTACCACGGGTCAACTGGGGATGCCTTTCGACACTTACTAGCTCTTATAAAAAAAGAGAGAGGAAAAAAGAAGGGAGAAAGGAAATTGCAAGTTTTATACGAATTTACATAGAAGGGTTGAGGAAATGGGTAACTGAAGTTTTCCAAATGGTTTAGAGTTTGCCTATTATGGTACATCGTGCAATCCCACCGTACGCCCCGCATCCAGTATTTATTGAAAATAATGATGTAGGGCCTTAGGAGATTACGATATAGTCTGAATAATTCAATTTAATTTGTGAATTTAAAATTTACAAATTACATTGAACATCTGCTTTAGTGCAACAAAAATAACCATATAAACATAATTAGTAAACAAATAAACATAATCAGATAACTAAAATAAGTACTGGAAACACAATGTTACAATGAATTGTAATAGTAATGCTTAAGTGGAGGATGTCTGTGGGTTATTTCAGATATAAAGGTTTATTGCAGTTTATAAAGTTCACAAGTGGAGTCATTTTGTCCATGTAAAAGTTCACTAAATTTATGCAGACTTACACTTGACAGAGATCTAAGCCGTAGGAAAGCTGATCCCCAAAACCTGCATACATAGTTGTCTTGCTGATAAATGGCATCTGGGCGACGTGATAACATAGGATGATTAAAATTGCGTCCACGTAACTGCGAACCGCCATAGTAACTTGAAGGACAACTAGTGTCCCAACAAATCACTCCCCACACTGTCACACACTGTGTAATCGTCGTATGCCGCTCGACAACAGAATGCCGGATCAGACCTCTGGCCTGGCCGTCTCAAGATGCGTGTACATTAGTAATCAGCGTTGAGACTGAATCGGGATTCATCGCTGAAGATCACACTCCTCCAGTCGGTCACTCTCCAGCTTGCCCGCGATCGGTAAAAATTATTTCGACACTGCCTATGACGCGAGATCAGTAGTAGGCGTCTTAATGGACGTCGACAGCATATACCAGCGTCGGTCAATAGTCTCCGCATTGTTTCCCTTGATACCACCGGATGCCTGGAAGATGATAAAAGACGTCAAATCGATGCTAGCGACGTTGTTGGTGCGGAAGTGACCTCTCTTATGATTGCGCGATCCTCGCGCTCATTTGTGTTTTTGGGCCGCCTGACCCTCCGCCATGGTAGATTATCTCCCACACAGAGCATTGTCGCCAACACTGAGCAACTATCATATCGCGCCGACCGTGGTGGCGGCCGATACGCCTGTTCGATCAGCCTGCTTCTCTAAGGCCTAATATACGTCCCTTCTCAATGTCCGATAACTGTTCATACTGCCGCTGGTTACGTCTCAGAGGCATCTTTAGTCACAATACCGTCCATCCAAGTCGACAGATTTGTTTGAATAGCCCTATGGCATTAGAAATCATGCTTTTAAACTCTCCCAGCTAGGCATTTCTTATGCGCATAACGCTCTTATTTTTGTCCCACTGGAGTCGAAATTTAAATCATTTGTATATCTCTTACCAGGCTACATTTCTGCCGACTTTCGTGATTGTGGCTCGATTACTTCTGGATGCATGTATTTTTTTTTGTGACAGAGTGCATTTTTCCAAAAGAAAAACTCTACAATTCTGGAACTTTTCAAAAACGTATTCGTACAGCTCTTCTCAGTATGACAGAGCACAATCAATAGCTACCACTTAAAACTAACGTTAAACACAAGACAATATAAAAGCCTCAGTGCTTAAGCTTGCAGAATGATCTCTCAATACTCTATACTACCTTGATGTCAAATCTGAACTAAACTGAAAACTCAGAGTCTATCCACTCTTATATAATTCCCTCCCCCGACGCCGAGAAATTTTCAGTACCCTTGGTTCTCGAAATTGCTGGAAGGCAAACACAGTTACAGTTACATAGGGGTCAGACCAAAATGTCGCCATGTCTGGAAGTTTGGCGACAAAAATTAGTCGCTAAAACCATTGCCAGTTTGACGCTATATCGCCAATTTGGCGAGACAGTCATTTGCCTCATTATTAAATGGACTTGCTCCTGTAACCTTATTTTTCCGGTGAAACTTTACATTTTTCAGGATTTTCATGTTATATAATACTATAATTTATATATAATTTCCCTAAAATTATTTACATATATACAAAATTCCTTACGATATTAAATGGTTATTGGAGGAGTTAAAGTAACAAGAATCAGCGTAATATTCATAAATTTGTAGGACTAAGTTTCCAAATGTTTAAATATAGAACCTTTCTGCCGTTTGCTCTTTTGCAGCAGTAGAAGCAGATTCTATATTTAAACCTTCGAAATTAGTCCAGCAAATTTATGAATATTACTCTAATTCTTGTTGCTTCAATCCCTCCAGCAATCATTATTTGGCGTGTTATTTTTAGCTCAAATATTAAACTTTCTTAGTTCGATCAGTTTCTGTTCTTTTCCCCCTTTTCGTACGCAGTTATCTGAAACTCACTCAAATTTTTATAGGCGTCTCAATAAATAAAATTAACAGCTCTATCCTTTTAACAGTTTTAAAATGAGTTGAAAATAAATGCTATATATCTTATATGTATATCGGCAGATAATGTATCTCAAATACTGTAACAGTGTGCATAAAAGCTAATATGGCTGTTAACGGTGTTAAAATCTTATTTAAATTATTAGATGGAAGATCATGTACATAAACACATTTTGTTACATGTCAAAATTAAAAATTCAAATACATTTTTAGTTTTAGAATAAAGGAAAGAAAAAGCTTTCGAAGTTACTTGTAAAGATAAAACTTGTAAACGGGCTAATGTTCAGTAATGGTGTATTCTTTCTTAATGATTTAACATCACTGTACAGCATCAGCAATGCTGCAGAAGTGATATTAAGTTACTGAAAAGTATGCAGAGTATTTTTGCTATCAGTTTTCAATTAATGCTACTTGTATCCTGAAAATATTTTGCATAAATCGTAATTTACTGGTAAATGTATAAAATACAAATCTTTTTAGAGTTAATACATAATCTTATATGCTAAAATAAAGTAAAATACGTACCACTAGTTCCGCAAATTTTGAATTTAACTCCTCTTCATCAGGCATGGGTTGAGTGGGTGTAAGTGGATGTGGCTGCAAGTTGATGATTCCTCCATTTTCGACTACATGGTACGTTATTTCTGGTGGTTCATTGCTGCCAAAGCAGCTACAGAAACCTTTTCCTCTTCTTTGAGCAGGCATGGTTTGGGGCATTGATGATGGAATAGTCACAAGAACTTGCTATAAAGAGAAAGTATAACTTTGTAAAAAATGCCTTCATAACACATAAGAAAACAATATAAAAATATTTACAAATACAATTTCGATATTTTACATTTTGCTTTCAAAAGAATTGAGGTAAAGAAAGCTAATTTCCTCATACGATGCTTATTTAATCTTTATTAAGGCGCTTTAAGCCCAAGCACTTTTTGTCAGCGTATTCTTTTACAACTTTGTTGCTACTTGCAGGAAATAATCTAGAATGAGTTAGCAGTTGTGCAAAATCATTAGATTTTTTTTTTTTTTTTTTTTTTTTTTTTTGAACAGGAAGCATAAAAATTCAGCAATGCTGTTATCGGAAGTAGAAATCCGGATCTCTTGATGTTAGCCTGACGTACTTCGAAGGTATGCGGTAGAAAAGGAGAAAAAGTCTTACATTCTTCCCCACTTTGAAGGCAACTGCGGGGGAGGAAACCCAGTCACCAAATCTTGGTGGTGATGAATTATCATCCACCACATTTTAGTTCGGGGGGGGTAGATTGTATTGCAGAGTCGTGAGACTTGTAGAGTCGATTAAGCTTTTCGAAAAAGAAAAACCAACGATGCTTTCGCCGGGATTCGAACTATGAAGCTTCCGACTGCTAGCCGGACGTACACCGCGAATGCTCGAAAGGAAAGAAAAAAGTCCTTATACTGTAACAACAATATGAATCATTTAAAGTAGTTATAATTATGTATCATATGAACGCATATCATTGTAAAGCATTGCATTTAAAATAATAACAGCGAGGTCAGATAAAAACTGAGATATAAGGGAATGTAATAGGAACAAAAAAATGAGCACCAGAAGATAAAGGAGTCTCATCCGCTGTAGAATATGGACTTCAGTCCCTAGAAAAACGGCCGAAGGTTTTTAAGACTTTTAAACTTAGATAAGCAAACCGAGAAGTGTATCAAATCACGTTAAGTTAAAGAAACTTAGAAAACATTCAATTGCATCATCTTCAGTCCTTTGAGAATACAATGTCCACTTTATTATTAAAAACCTTTTTTTATCGGTACGTTTATTTTGTTTGTGCATAGTATAATTTATCTTAGATTACAATGTTGTTTTATTTCATAAAACGTAAAATTGTAAAAATTTTGGATTTTGGATTTTCATTTCATATTTCTGTTCTTCGCAAATCCAAAATCCTCTTACAAACAAATTATAATACAATCTTAAAATGCATGATGTTTGATTTTTAATTCTATCTTAAATTTCCCCATAATTTTTTAGTCTGTTCTAACGAAGCATTTCTCATTTAAATCATCTGGTTTTAATCAAGAACTGAGAGATTTTTTTAAAAAAGATTGTTTAAATGTAAACCCTAACAAGACTGCAAAAAATTACGGTGGATCGCCAAAGCATATACATTCATTCATTTCTAAAAGAGCTAAATTGCATCAAAATTTTGTTACAGTAGCATTTAACTAAAATATTTGAGGTTAATATTCAAATTTCTTTATGAATAATAAGATTCCTTCTAACAGTACGTTTCTTCATATACAAAAACTACTGCATAATATTTATTAATACTCTATTGCAGTTCCAAAGCATTATTTAACCATAGTATTCACCCAGGGGGAACGATCGATTTTCTTACCAAGTGGTATAGTTTATTTATGGCAAAGCACACGAAGGCTATCTTAAGGGAAGAAATGCCTTCGTAGAGAACTTCATAAGGAAAACTGACTCGTACCCACGTTACACATGTAGAAAAATTGAAAACCGCCTATGCAGCCTGAAGCAGAAGTCGAACTACCAGTATTCAGGTACTTTATCGCTTGGCTGGTAGTGGTTATTATAACCAAATGACAGAATATTATATGAGATTCTAGATAGTGAAATAGAAGCCCAACCCTGTAGAAATAGAAGCTTCTGTTTATTAATTTGTAGTAAAGAAAAGGAGCTTGATTTGTGGTAAATAAAAGGAGCTCTGCAAAATTGCAGGTCTAAATTAATTAATTATTATTTTTGGTCCTCTGAGTTTTTGAGATGCTGTTAAAATTGTTTCCCATACGAAAACAGAAATTATCCTCATGATGATAGATCTGTCGAGTAAGGGATTAGTAATAAAAGTTACATTTTTATTTTCAGTCAAAAGCTTGACGATAGTTACAATGTGAATAGTGGGAGCTAAAATCTTTTACCTGATCCAGCTATTTCTTGCTCAGTGCAATGAATTCCTTTAGGAAATCGGATCTATTACTCCTTTCTACAATGTGGAGTCTACCGTCTTTCCCTTCAAGCAGAAATATCTTGCGAATTATTCCCTTCCAATAATATCCCCTTACCCGAAAATAATCAACATGAATATAAAATTCAAATTCATTTATATCAAAATGAATACAAAATTTTAAGCCTCGGTAGGAGGAAGACTAAGGTGAATTTTCCCTTGCTCATCAAAATGGTTGTTATTTTGTTTTTTGATTATATGTAAAACCCAAACCTTCATCGCTGGGAATGATGCACTTAAAAATTATTGGGATTACTGTTTTGCTGTTTCAGTCAAATCATAATTACTTTTAGTTTTTCAGACTTTGAATCTCCAACAACACGTACCGGGGCATAAATTAAAACAAACAAACAATAAATTAAATTAATTAATAAAACAATTAAATAAATAAATAAATATATTCCTTTCCATAAAGAGACTATATTTTAAAGGGAAATAAAGAGCTTGGAGCATGCCTAGTAACCACTGCTATTAATTTTTACTTGGCAGGACCGTTGGGACTGACTGAAAAAATTCAGTCCTAATACTAAGAAAATGCACTGCATAAAAGAAGGTTTGAGAAATGAATTGAAAGATTATCTAGCTCTTCTTCATTTACAGGACTTTTTCTCAGTATTCTTCCTTTGTTCTTCGTACTAAAAACGAAGTTGCTGTTAACTGAATTATGGAAAAATACGCGACGGTTATGGAAATAGATGTCTTCGTGGAGGACTTTCCAAATGAAATTTGGCTCGTATTCACGTTACATATGGAGTGATCCACGAAAACGCCCATACAGCTAACACGTTCTTCGTGGTAAAATTCGGAATGAGTTGTCAGTGTATTGCAGTGTTATACACTCGGTTATTGGTGGCCTAGTATAACTGTGAATATCGCTTTGTAGTTTTACATATGCTTGAATGCTAACAGGAATTTTATAGTAAAAGCAACTTCTAAAGTCATCCTCCAAGATGATATATACCACCCTGACTGTTATATGACTATTAAGATTGCTTCAAAATACTTATTTTGCGTGAATATTTTTTTAAGGAAAAAATAGTAATTTTGATTGAGGAAAAGAACACATTCAGGAAGATTTAAGATGAAAAAATTACCATGTCATGGTACCACTGCGTAAAGTCCTCAGTATTATATTTATTTGTAACTTTACATTTAGATGAATATTATACCTAATTCAATTCCTACTGAATTCAGAATACAATTTTTACCTGTTACAGTCAAGGTAAAGCGTTGCTATGGAAACAGTTATCTGCTTTGGCATCTTGCCAAAGATCTAAATGGATCGAAGCATAGTTCTGGAAGAGCCGTTAATAACTTACAGGTTTCAATTTAAAGAAGCCTTGCAGTTGCTTCAACTAGGAAAGCTGTCGCTGCGATTTCATGAACAGAAAAATCTGTTGCCTTTATCTGCTATGAGCATTTTTTGCAGTTAAACTGCAGTAAAAGAAAGCAGAAAAGTTTTTTCTACTTTCATACATATTTGTTTCCTAGAGATGGACAGTGACGAGTGGCGTGCTCAAGGAACCTAGTAAGGTGTGCTGAAGAAATTGCGCATTGAAACGGATGACATATTTATTAACATTCGAAGAACTAAATTCTATTCTGCGTAACTTGAAATAACATATTCTTTTAAACAACTACAAGTTCCAAAAGGAGGAAGTGTTCGTATAATGGTGACACAGTCTCTCAAGCCCAATACATTTACGTTTTCTTTAGCCGTCCAGACGGTATAGTGGTTAGGAGAGCCTACTGTGTTATCGAAGGGCCCGGGTTCGAATCCCGAAGAAGGCATGGATGTTTGTAAATGTATAGTGTCTTTGCGGTATGGGGGCACTGTAAATATATGGCGAGCCAAAAGTCCTCTCGTGTGTTAGGGGTAGGGGAGAGGGGTGGGAGACCCTCGCACTATTTCCCGGGTGCTTTCCGTCAAAATTGGCGTGGAAGTAGAAGTCCAACCACGTTGAGGCTTTGGCAACCATTTTTCCATGAAATATAGGGACAAGACAATAACAACTTTTTCTTTAAAATTAATCTAACTAATTACCATTATATTTTGAAGCTAGATTTAACGTTATCTAAGTTAAAAGAAAGTGCATACAAAAGCAGTTGAGCAAGATGTTTTGAAAGTTCTATTTACGTAATTATATATATACTATAAATGTTATATAAATGATTTTAATGACTTTCTTTGGAATTTTATACCTTAAAAGAAAAGAAAATAAATAAAAATGCACTTTTCTGTTAAACTGACCGCACAGAAATCCTTGCATATCAAAACCTAATATATACTATAAATGTTATATAAATTATATACTATAAATGTTATATAAATGATTTTAATGACTTTCTATGGAATTTTATACCTTAAAAGAAAAGAAAATAAATAAAAATGCACTTTTCTGTTAAACTGACCGCACAGAAATCCTTGCATATCAAAACCTAAGGCAATTCTAACACTAATTTAAAATTACGCAAAATTCAACCTTCGACTGGCTAACACAGTAGAAAACCTCTATCTATTTTAAGGGAATTTGACACTGGTCCACCCTCTACAAAGAACAAAAATATTCTGTTCCTTAAAGAACCGACAATTATTTTCCTCTTCTTCTGGGAGAATATGTTGTACGTATTTAGAAAACTAGATTGTTTTCGTTTCTTGTAGAAGAGGGATCACGGTCAGATTCCTTGGAAACAAAGAGAGTTCCTGTGAAAACCTAATAATGCCTAGCAAAGTCTTGCACT